CGCGCCGCGGCGCTTCGTGCGTGGGAGGTGACGTCGGCGGCGGCGGTGGGGGCGGCTTCGGTTTCACGAGCCGCGACGTGGCGCCGCGCCGGGCGACTTGGCGCCCCCGCCCCTCTCGCTGGCGACGCCCCGCGACGCACGCGCCCCAGAGAGACGCACACGCCCCGCCCGGGGGCTAGCCACTTCTTTCTTTTATTTCGTCGCCCTCCTTTCTTTCTTTTTTCTTTCTTTTCTTTGTCTTTGTCTTTTCTTTTCTTTATTTTCTGCAATCCGCTGACGGTCACATGAATAGCGGTTTGAATACTTTTTTTCTCATTCTTTTTCCTTAGTTTGATGCAATTATTTCACTCTATAATTTTTCATTCTCACATTTCCTTTGGGATTTTTCTTTCTTTTTACTATTCGCACTTTATTTTTTTTGCATTTTCTTCTTTTTACGGACTTTTTTCTTTTCTTTTTCTTTTACTATTATTTGTCATTCACTTATCTATAGTTTTTCATGTATACTTTGTTCATATCCTGCTGTTTTATGTCTGTTTCTTCTTTTTATATAGTCTTTGCTTTCATGTTAATCTTCATTTTTATTCCCTTCTTCCTGACTTCTATATCTCATATACTTACAAATTCTATGAATCTATTAAATGTATTGATGCTCTGATCGTTTCTTTGCCACTAGAATATTTTGAAAACTTTTCGCAGAGTGGTTATGATGCAAACGCAGTGAAATATTGCTGCATGCACTTTTAAATATACAAGGTTTAGCAACACTACTATGTCGATTTTAATATTAAAATTATTTAATAACATAGCGATTTAACCAATTGGGTATTGTGTAACCAATTGCGTATTGTTAATAACAAATAAGAGATGAAGCTTTACGGAGTTTTCTTCATCAGACTTCGGGTAATATCAGTGCAAAATGAAATGTAAATCATGTGTCTTGGCATTTTACCTTGTATTTTCATTTCATGTTACCAAGCGATATGCGCGACTAACGACACTGCAGTTCAAATGCAGAATACCTCGTCATTCTATTTCACGAACTTCAATATTCTCGCTACTTCGTTAAACATTCACTTGCTACTACGTCTTAAAATTACGGCTTCAGTCAATCGTGCATTAATTTTAGATTAATAATAAATATATTGTTTCAACTGATTTAACAATTGACTAATGTATTAATATGAAGTCATTCGACAATTCGTCTGCTTGATATCTTTATACATTCTACCCCACGGTGGAAATTGTGTTAATATTTACAAGAAATGAAGAACAAAAATATTCATCATGTTCATAAAATGATTTCGTAGGAATGTGTCTTTCACTATCACGTCACGTCTTGCGCGGTGAGCTCGCAGCGCGCCAATCGGGAAGAAGGGAAACTTTCAGTAATAACGGGAGAGCGGATACCGTCGCCGCTTTTAGTCACTGCGCCGGGCTCCGCTCCGCTCCGCTTTGACAAACAGCCGCCGCCCGCCCAGGAGACCGCGTGGCGCGCGATTTAATGACACTTCCGCGTAAATTCTCTGGCGGGGCAGGACGCGGCGTGGGCGGGGGGGGGGAGGGCGCCCGCAGCGCCGCGGAGCGGCGGTCGCGCGAGTTACGAATGGGCGCATCCATATCGCAGCGCCAATGGCCCCGCGGAGCTCCCCCGACGGCTTTGGTTCGACACCCGGCTCTCGCACCTGCGCTGCTGGGCAAACGGAGCGGAGGAGCAGCTTCGGTGATATAACATTTGGCACATGTGACTGTTAAACCCAAGTCTGCGGGTTTACACCCGATGGATGCCGTGGATTTTTAAGGGCGTTTTTCGCCCCTCTTCGTTCCCCTTCCTTCAGAGAGGAAGTAAATCAGGATGTCCCATGTTGTAGATTTACTTCACGTTAACAATCCACAAGCCTAAAAGAAGCGTCTGAGCCAAATTCAAATCGCATGATTCGTCGCCCGAGTAATATCTACTTTTTCCCACTAGATGGTGAAAAGATCGTAGCGAAATCTGCGTGGTCAGACGGAAAAGCGGGCCTGATGGCGCGAGACATGCCACGTAAAATGAGGCATGAACTGAACAATTGAACAACTGAAATTGAAAGGATGAAGGCAGGATAAAGTGTGGTTGAGAATGTGAGGAAAAGCGCAGCTGGCCACGGTCGCCCAAAGACATGAACCCACGACCCTGTGAGTGAGTGAATAAATGATTATTTGGCTACTCATATTCATCATGTTCCTGTTATTTGACAATCACCTACCATGAACTTTTATCCCATTAATAAAACAGGAAAATTATGTAAATAGATTTTAAAATATTTTGTTTTTATTACATATTTTTCCTGTTTTATTAATGATTTATTAAATGTTCCATGGGAGGTGATTGCCAAATAACAGGAACCTTATGTATATGATAAACGAAATAAATGAGAAGACAATCTGAATCTCAATTCAACAAGAAATGATTATTGAGTGTTGATTATTGGTAGGTGAAGTGCTGAGTTCACGTTATATCCCGGGGAAGAGGTGGAAAGTAGAACGTGATATCTGGCGCAGACCTACACGTCAACTTGCAGGTTTTCCTACTCCCGGAGTCTCTCCCTGCGGGGCACCGCCTCGTTTGGAATAAGCTCTAAGCCCTCGACAGGTGTCCAGATCTGCTTGTTAGTGTAGTGCATGTAAGTGTAAGTTTGTGTGTAGAGGAAGAAGTGGAGAAAAGGAGGAAGAAGAAAATATCTCGCGCGCTCCGTAGTTCGTTTGTTATGGAACTGCTCCGGCATTCGCTTGCTGTTGATCGGATAAACCACGGAAAACTACTGAGAGAACGGCCGGTCGCCTCTAAATACGCTAGTGTTCTCCGTAACTGACACTCATAAAGAATCTAAAATAATCTGCTTCATTCTGCTGTCTAAAAAATATTTTAAAATAATTTATTATTTTGTTACATTTCCTAATGGAAAAATACATACAGTGGCTAACTGATAGTTGCTCACAGATTTAATCACTTGTTTTTTTTAATTACATTGAAATGTTCTTGTTTATGGTAATACTGATGTAGACATGATAAGAAATGAACGTAATATTTTGTTACAGCTGTGAATGTGACGGAATTGTTAGAAACACGACAGCAGGAATGGGACCCTCTGAAGAATATGCAAGACTTTGGTGATGGCAAAGTGTCCAATTCTGCATAGGGTAAGTAGTCTCTATTTACCTCCTCCGATGAGCATTAAGACTTTACAGAACTTCAGGTGTAATCTGTGACATATTAAACTGTCAATGCAGATGTGGTAAAGAATAGGCAAAATCAGAACCACGTTTGGAGGGAATCAAAGACTGCATGTTTCTGCCAAACCACAGTGCCTATAAATCAGGGGAAAATGACAAAAGTGTAACTTCGTTACATGAGATTTTCTATTATATGTTCGTTCACAAATAGATATTTAGTCGACTCCTTACATGCCATAGAAACTTGTAATATTTATTCTGAGAAATGTGTGTAGTGTTAGTTTGGGCACTATGTCAAGGTGATGTGTGTATCAACGGAATTGACCCCAACTCTATTCTTGTGTTGCTCTTCGTTTTCCTTTATCTTCGTTGATTTTAATTAAATGATATTAACAGGGGATGTTGCAAGAATGTATATCGAAGTACCTTAGAGAAAAATAAAGTTCACTTGAAATACATCGTGAAGAAGTATCACTTGATTTCATTCTTTCATGAAGCGGGCTTTCGTACGATTTCATTTCTTTTTTGGGGCTAAGATTTTATTTCATTTCAAATATTTTCTTATTAATCCTGGATTAGATAAGATACAAAATATAGAAGTAGATACTAAAACCCGTGAAAAGTGCCAAAAACATGAACAGTATATAAAATGATTACTCTACTCTATTACTGTAGGTGTTTAGAATTTAAAAAATTGAGTATGGCCACTAGACTGTACAAAATATTTAAAGACTGTGTTTTAACACTATTTAGTACTATAATTTCATTTAATTTCACAGAAATCACATTCATGTGACAAGTATTAGCTAGAGAAGTAATTGCACTTTGACACAAATATTATCGCGCAAAGTAATGGCGTCGGGTGTTTCTTTATCACTCTCTCGAGGGCGCTACTAAACTCTGTTTCTAAATCGGAAATCCCTGAACACCAGCGCACTCCAGCTTTGGTTCCCATATGACCCATACTTAACCGTTACTCTGTTTTAGGTCTACTCATTATATAAGCATTACGCATTAACGCTTTTAAGAACTTTCAATTTAGGTTTGACACATGCCGCATTGGAACTGTGTCAACTCCACAGCAAATATTTGATTTTCATTTCGCGTTCGGCGAAAGATATACTTTAGTTTTTTATGAGTTGTTACCAATGTATGCAAATTGTGAAATTATTTACATTATTTTAATGTGCATAAAATGTGCGAATATCTCTAATACTTTTAAAACCCTGTTTAACTGATAATTTAACATTGGAAAAATTCTAGAATAATGCAAGTCATAATTAACCATACATTATTATAGAGTTCTTAACTCGGTTGAATCCAGACCATATTCACAATAACGGAATCCATTCAATTTTATATTTTCTTGTATTTTTTAACGTTGTCATGAAGATAAAATTTCAGTTAGGAAACCACTCCTGTAATGGAATTCAGAGTAGTTTCTTCTGATATTTTTATATTGGTGCTGATGCCTCCCACAACATACAACCTGCCAGTACCCTGAGCTGAGAACGTTGTACAGACCTCTGGCTCCCAACTCCAAACGGATGAATCTTAATACAATAAAATCTCGCAAATCCGTATTTTTGGATAATCCGAAAACATCGGAATGGAATGAAAGAAAAATAAAAAAATACTAGTTTGTAGTGTAAACAAATAATTTTGTAATTACTGTAGAAGTAATTACTGAAACACAAGTTGTCGAAATCAAAAGTTTATTGCACTGGTAACTACAGTGTATGTCTCATGTTTATGTAGCAGTAATTTTCACCTAGGATAACTTGCAAAATCGGTAATCTTCTTGATGATGAGATCGCTACGCTACTTTGCATTGTCCGTTAACCCTATAGATGTATTTGTGTATGTGCGGTACATTTTTCTCGGATAATTCGAACATATCCGAATCCGAAAAGATCCCACCCCTAATTAGTTCGGATTACCGGGGTTCAACTGTATTCGGTAGATATGCGCAGTGAGTCTAACAATTCTCACACCCCTGCTTCCTCCCTCCGTGCCTTTCCGCAGCCCTGTCTGTACCCCATCGTTACCGCCCCCTGGCGCCTGCGTGCTCGGGCGAGCGACGCGGGGAATAAAGGGCGCGGGGGCGGGGCGGGGGCGGTTCCGCTCTGGTTACAGCGGGGAGTGCGCGCCGTGGTAGCGGCGCCGTCGCCCCGCCCTCCGCCCCCCGCTCCCCTTCGCCGCGGATCCGTCTCCGAAGCCAACTCTGCCGGGTGCCGGCTCGGTTGCACAAGCACTCGTTTCCTATCTTCCAGGCTACTAGTGTTCTCCCTTGGGCTTAAACAGATATTAGTCTAAGAACGGTCCGCTTCGACAGCTACGGCTGGCAACATAACGTCCACGCGCGCAATTCGTCAATGCGTTCGTTTGCAGTTGGCTCACTTGTGACTTCGTCACTACCCTTTGCAATGCCAGCGTCCGACATTTCATTCATTCATTCATTTCCAGTTCTGACAAACTGGTATCTCCTTGACGTAACTTCTCTCAAGCAGGGTAATGTAAATACTACGCTAAATACATTATTTTTTCTAATATTTTGAACTAGTGACCCTGCCCGATACTTTGAATGGGTACCGTCCACACTCCTCCCCTGTCTGATCCAAATTGGCCGAGCCTCGCGACATACAGCAACGCTAGAAATAATACCGCCTTCCAACAACAATTAGCCAGCGATTGAGGTTTACAGAAACACACATTCCAGTACCCAAATTCTGTACATCGTTTCGATGTTGCGAATCCCTATCTTTTTCTTCGACATTTCTCTCGACAATATAGTCCTTACAAAATTTGGGATCAGTCACTCCGTGGTTCAAAATTTATTCTGGAACATTCAAACAAGTACCCATATATCTCCAATACATCCACATATCTCAATTTTTGCGTATAAGGATCCTTTGAAGTTAAATATATTCCTTCATCATTAACATGTTGACAGAGTAAGTACCATTTTCGAGAAGCGAATCTCTGGCCTCTCTTTTTAACCTGCCATCACTTAGGCTATTGGGTGCACCGACAAAAATGTATTGCAAAATCAGATGATAATATACGATAATAATGATATACCTTTTCCGTTGCTAGAAGCGAGTTGTTTCATCCATTAGTAAAAGAGAGTATGACAACCTCCCTTGAGCGATAGAGTAGTAGAAAACCGATATTTACGAGTTTCTTTGAATATTTGAGAATTACGAATGAATCATTGATTTCGCTATGTTATGTTTCCCAGAATACAGTGGATGACGGAAGTAGGAAGTCAGTTGTGTTTGCAAGGCCTTGCTGGTTACGCAAAATCTTAATTGATGTGTGATCTACCGGAAGCTGTACGTTGACTTTGAAAACATGTATGTGATGTTCTTTTTATGTCTTCGAGTATTGAATCTTTTGAAAGTTCTTAGAGACCAGGGACCATTTATTATTATTATTATTATTATTATTATTATTATTATTATTATTATTATTATTATTATTACTAGGAGGATGTGACATCGTCAACGCTGTAAACTGTTCTTAAACTATTTTCATGTCTTGAAAATATCGTTCATATTTCATTTCTTTCATGCCAACCTTTTTTCACATATGCTCTTTCAGTTTCTGTCGTTGGACATACCAATGAATCGTTGTAGCTGATAGTGTTGTACTTCCCTTCAAAAATTCCCCAACATCCAATGACCTTGTATGGTACCTCCAAACGGGATATGAACTGGTAATATTGCAATTCAAAATTATAATGACCGTAAAATTACTTTAAGATATTGATGAGGTGTATTGTTAGTTTATTACAGCTACATTTTTACGATTCTTGCTAATATGCAGAATAATAGACAAAAATCATCTGTAAGCAGTTTTTAAGCTTATTTTTCTCTAATATTAGATCATTCACAATTAGTTCCGAAAATTCTGACGCAAAATCTTCAACTACATTTTATCCTTCCCCGGATTCGCTTAACACGTCCATATTTTTCTCCCTTAATTTTTGAAGAGATTAAAACTTTAAAAACGCAGTCTAATTTGTGTTCACTTCCCCTCTTGCAATTGCTCTATTAGTCGTTTTGTGTGTGAAACTATATTGACATTAAAAGGCGACTGTTTTGTATGGTTATAATGTGAATAAGGTATTAGTTAAGTTTAATAAGAATAAGTTGTGGTTCACATTCACTTGAAAATAGGTATTTGTATACTTAAAAGTGAGAAGTCGACCCTACAAAAGTTCATTCATTCTTTAGCATTACTCACAATTTCGTTTTCTCCATATTCACTTTAAATGTTTCAAATGTAATACGTTCGTGGGTTTTTTAATTTATGTTTTAAATATGGTATTAGGCCTACCGCAAAAAATTAAAATGAAATATTCCGCGCGATTCACTTGTTTAAATTAACTTCACATGTTCACTTAAAGATGTCAACATCAGTTTTGACTACGTCTTAAAAGAAAATTAGGGCCTATTGAGCGAAAAATGCCTTTTGTACTTTAATTTAAAATAACATAGGTATATTTCGGTAGCGTTGAGTCAATTGAGCTCAAAGTTTCCACCACCATCATCATATCATCGTCATCAACTCCACCAAAAACCATCACCACTCTCATCTCTATCACCTACACTAACTACCTCCAGCATCATCATCATCACTATCAACACCACCAAAAACATCACCAGCCCCATCTGTATCACCAACATAAACATCATCAATGTCACCAACACTATCAATAGTACTATAACAAGCACCGCTAATACTTCTGTCTCCAGCGCCATAAACATCTCCCCCATCATCACTTGCATCGCCGGCACCTCCCCCACCATTGCTACCTCCAATGACCCCACTCCCACAGCCTCCCCCCCCCCCGGCGCCATCGCCGCTCACCCGCCGCCGCCAGCGGCCTCGCCAGAGCCGACTGTTGGGCGGACGGCAACGGGCGACGGGTGACGCCCTGCGACCTCGCTGCATTGTGGAGGGCAGGCGGCGACGTGGCGGCATTCTCGCGCCCGCCACGCCACCTCTAGGGACGCCCCCGCCGACACGGAGCAGCGCTTCGCCAAACCTGCCATTCTCAGAACCCAAATTACTACTACTTTATTATTTAATATTACTACTTTATTATTATGTTTATTAGTATTAGTATTGTTATTATTATTATCATTATTATTATCATTATTATTATTGTCATTATTATTTGCATATCTCCCATTTACGACCACGCTACATGCTAAAAAGCTTATTGCTCTTGAAAGTGCTCTAACGGGTTTTTTCACTTGCCGCGTTCTGCCTTATTACAACATACCTATCAAACAGAAATCGGTGCTCTGCAAACGAGCACCATAGTGTATTTTTTCCATAAATTGACGGATGTTTTGCGATAGAGCCACTACTTTCGTTACGCAGGGTTCAGAAATA